TTGAAGCAAAGGCCGCTTGGGCGGAATAATCTAGTACAGCCAACCTTTCCCACTGGCCCACGTGGGAAAGGTTGGCGGTACCAAATAATCCCCCACGGCAAGTAATGCTTGGCAAGCTCGCTCATATACGGAATGTGGTAGCCAGATTATCCCCTCACACACTCAGCGCAAGTTTTTCTCTTGAAATAGCAGTCGCGATGGGAACCGTAAAACTGTAAAGCGAAAAAGGCACCCCTCAAATGATCAAGTTCATCATAAGAATACCAAAGAAACGGCCGAAAGATAACAGTGGAAGCGTCAAAATGAATTTGGTAATTGAAAAGACAGACGGTGTCCCTTCACCCACAGCGAACACTGCTACCACATCTGCCCGTTCATCCGTAAGGGACGAGCTGGTTGCTGTTTTTTTCATTTGTTCTCCGTTGGTTGCTCGCGATTTGCGCGAATCGCGCGACGGATCATGGACAGTGACAGCGGTCTTATGTACTACATATAAGTCACAACGAAGATGAGCCACCACGCCTCCATCCACGCAGTGACCAACGCTCAGTGTGACACCCTATTAGTACCAGCCACAGTTCAACGGTGACCCTCATCCGTCCGTGACTGTTGTCTAATCAAGGAGAGCATTCAACTTCCCATGGAATTCTGGATCGCGATGGTACCCTCTATTTCGGAAAACGAGAAGAGCGTCGAGTGCAGACCACACACCACAAGTGACGACGGTAAAGAAAAAAAAATCTTGGCCGTCGTCACTTGTGGTGTGTGGTCTGCACTCGACGCTCTTCTCGTTTTCCGAAATAGAGGGTAGGTTATACGAATAGGGTCAAAATTCTAATCATAATATACTGGACCCTTTGTCAAAAAATGGATGTCTTGCGTGATCAGGCCACCAATTCACCCCTATAGGTTAAATTTCAGAGAAACTTAGAAACACTGATTCGGATTGATTAGCTGCCACACTAGCATTCTTGCCCGTCCATTCACCCTGGTATCCATTCAAAGTTCCAGGAAAGTAAATCCACTGTCGATAACTGTTGAGTATTGCATCCTAGTGGAAACGGCCCTCCGCAATTGAAATGGTCCGCAGTAAATAGGTAAACGGCAGTGCGAGTAAATTGTGCTAAAAAATAGAAACATAACAGAGGGAGGGGATTTTAATCGACTGCAGCCCCACACTTATGATAGTTATTATACTGAGTCGCACAACTCTGCCTATTCGATGGAGATTCAGAGACTCAAGAACTCTCAGATGATCTTTCCTTGATGGCA